AGTTGTCTATCTTAGGCAACACATGCCGCAAAGTACAACTTTGATGTACCGTCGAAAGCATGGACAAAAACTAACATCGAAGGAGCACTTTTTATCATACAAAGAGCTGATAAGCCGTATTACAGGTATGTGACAGACTTAGATCGAAAATCTCTAAAGATTACCCGTGCATTTGATAACACTGCGGTTCTAGCCTGATCATCGCAAATCGTCAGTCTCTGGACGATATGGTGGAACCAGTCAATCCTCTAACAAAAATGAACCTTGAGGGACATTACCTATTCTTCTGCAAACCTGATAGTCAGTTTCATCTAATGATTTATAAGAAACGTTCTGAGTGCACTATGTGTAGAAATGGTAGTCGAACTTTCTACTATCCCATGGTTTTGGATATGTCAATATCAAATAATACGTGAGCCTTTTTTGATTGACTTATTCTTAGCAACTCGTAGTCTACGGGTAAAAAAGTGCTGAGAATTCTTGTTTGAGCCCTTTTTAATGAAATATCTTATTCTTTAGATTTCTTTCAAATCCTTACTTCTGGCATGCTCAGGGAAGGTTTGCAAATAATAAAGGAGCAAGCACAGTTTGATCTGAGCGAAACTCCTTTTTAGGATATTTTTTGCAGACCTTCACAGAGTGCTGTTAGCCCATAATCAAATATATGGAGAGTCAACAGTCATTAATCACAGGGCTATAATTAAGTCTAAGGAAAGCTGCATCTTACAATGAAATTATTGATACGCTGCGCACTGCTCAAAATTTCTTTAAGTTTTTTAAATTTAATAATTATATTTAGATCAGATTTATGGTTTATGGTTCTTCTCAACTGAAGATTGCTCTCGTCTCTACTCCTTGCTCAAGAAATTACAGGAAGAAATCCGATCGGGAAAGGTAAGAGGTTAATTCCTAGAATAAAACAGGTGTCAGTCAGCCATTTCTCGTGCAATATAGGCCATTCGAAAAGCTGAAAATTAGCATTTAGCATATGTATAGGATCTCAGTGCGATAATATATTGGGAAACATATAGATACCTACACCACCTACAAATGAGGAAGCTGGAGCATCTAGTGTGCCTCAATCAGTTGCACCACCAAATGAGTCTAATCAACTGTTGGATCTTTTGAAGTCTGCACAACCTACTCCTTCCACGCAAATGAAATCTGTGGAGGTATCGATATATCGTTCTGTAGCGTAAATGTGTTCTTGGAAGGAATACGTGCAACCGCTTTTTCTTTTTTTAGGTTAACAATCGCGACAACCACTTTTCTACAACGCATCCCACTTCATCGTCGCAAGAGAAGGCGGATAAAGAGAAGTTGAAGCCAAAAGACGACGATTC